TATGTCTGGCTGTGCTAAACTGTGTAGCAATAAAGATCATCTTGTGTTAGGCCATATCAGATAAGAACCCTTTTGAAACGTAATGTCTTTATGAACGAAAACACTTTGGTGGTAGGGAGGAATACAAATAACAAGAGAATAATTTTTCCTTCTCTTTTTCCCAGCCCTTTGCTCTTCTCTTGTTCGGTCATTCTCTGCCATGGATCAGTCCATTTTGTTGAAGCGGACATTGTGGATCCAGCTTTGACTGGCATCTGGGACCTGGAGACCTTCGCTGCTGCTTCAGCTAGAGAAAGATAAGGAATAATATAGTTAGGGAGAGAAAGTGAGAGAAGCAGAGCCTGAGAGAGAGAGGGAGCGTAGTGGTAATGTGAAATATCCAGACATAACCTGTCTCCATCTGGCTGAGCAATCATGGCATTTCATAGTCCAGTAGCATCATTACTATATGGTTAGGATGCTGATGCAAGTGCGCTCTCTGCCACTGCTGGAGTCTGGCCTCTCTCTCTCTCTCTCTCTCTCTCTCACTCTCTCTCTCTCTCTCTCTCTCTCCGGCTTCAGGCTGTGGTGGGATGGAAGCAGGGCAGGGCAGGGCAGGCTGCTCTCTGCTCTCTGGGTGCAGGGCGCTGGACGTGTCTGCTTTAATGGAGTGGATGTGACTGTATCGGGCGGGCTGAGCCAGGCCCTCAGCTGTCACTCAGAGATTCGCGTGTCAGCCCGGAGCTGGGCTGTAGCCGGCCGGATTACAGGGTAGTTACCATAACTGTCAGATTACTGACAACCTGACACCCGCGCACACTGCTCCCCTCTTAGTGTTGCTTTGTTTCTTTCCAACACGCTGCAGATGGGGAGAGTTACCCAGCAGTGAAAAAAATAATAAATAAATAAATAAAAAATGTGAGTGCTAGAGAAAAGCACGTAAGAAAGGGGGACACAAACGGTGAGAGGAAACAAACGCAGCGGCTTTAGACTTCTATGCCATGTTAGCTTTGAGATGAAGTAACCTGTGCTTTAGAAAGGGCTCAGCAGTGAGGAGAAAAAAAACAGAGGGGTGGACAAGGAGGGATGAAAGAGAGAGGGATGGATTAAGAAGAGAGAAAGAAGCACCTTCTTGCTCTGCTCCTTGTTATCCATTGTCATTCACGCCAGGTGCTGTGATTGTGTTTGCTATTAACGATCTGCCACTGAACCGATAGCCTCGTCAAGAATCTACTCAAGCTCCATGCATGGCAACAGGGATTTCATCTTGTGCTGCTCTCTCTCTCTCTCTGTACTGCTTCTTTTCTCCTGCATGAGCCCCCTGAAAAAACATCACAAATGAACTTCAGTTTCTCTTTTGTAAGAAATTATAGGAAAAAATGGGTTTGATGGTAAAAAGAGTGGCGAGAGTGTGTCAGCACTAAAATCACTTAGAAGATTTCGCATAATGGCGAGCGGAATAAGCAGTGGTAGCTGGAAGTATTTTAATGATGGGATAGACAGTGTGGGTCGGCCACGGGTCAGCGAGTGGGTTTAAATTTTTCATTCGTCACATCTGAGCGACCCTGCATAAGAGACTCTGTCATTCCACTCCTCTCAAATGAGCACCACTGAGAGAGAGTCTGAGAGAGAGAAAGACAGAAAGAGAGAGAGAGAGAAAGAGAAAGAGAAAGAGAGAGATTCAAATCTACATCCTGTTATCTGGCACACCAGAACTGCCCAATTACAAGACCAAAGCAAAGGGACAGACTTTCTTAGACAGTTGAAACAGCACTATTGTAGTTTAGAAACTGAGGTGGGTGCTTTGCATCTTTTTCTAATTCATAGGAAGCACCTGAAACTGAGAATATACATTACCATATATTTCACCTTTAAATGACCCACTTGTGCCAACTTTTGTAGTGTTTATGGTGTCTATATTGGCTAACTAAAATGTGATAATTCAGGTGCACTTACTGAGTAACCCAGTTTCCAGTGTGTCTGAGGTGCTAAGAGAGTCCAGTTCTTCAGACTGAGTCAGTGGTTCCACCCTCACGAAGCCCAGTGGAGCGCTGCTGCATGCTCTGACCCTCACTGTGTTCTCTGTTCTCTCCACCTCTCTGTTAACAAGCACTGCTGCCGGTATCAGCCAGGCCATGATGTGGCTGCCTGGTTAATGAGGCTGGGCTCTGCACACAGCCTCACCGCTAAACAATTATAGTTAGTTAGAGAGCACAGGTTAATATTCCCTCATGTCCCTCTGTGCTGGGCTCGCCCTGGTGTCCTCTGCCAGTCCTAATGAAAGTTATGAGACCTGTCCGCAATGATAAGCAGCCTCGCAGCTCGGCCTGCTCCATTATGCCCTGCTTTCAGCCTATGCTTTGCATAGCCTAAAGCGTCTATTAAAATCCCCTTGTAAAATTCATAAAACAAAAAATGTGGTGGGTCAAGTCTAGAGGGAGCCAGAGTAAGCTCCTTATTAGCAGCGAGTGGAAAACACAGAGCCAATTACATATCCTGAACAAGGAGGGCTCAGAATCAGCATTGGGGAATAAGTATTTCCATCTCTTTCTCTCTCTCTCTCTCTCTCTCTCACTGATTTGACTGTAGGTGTAGGGTATGGGTCTGGGTCTAGTTTGAGCGAGGTGTAATTATAGCGAGGGTGTTTAGTGGACAGAGCTGCTGCCTTTTCACTCGGAGCCACTCAACTACAAACTCATGTAAATCTTCACTCTGCTCCACATCTTAAATTGGTGGGTTTAGGGGGGATTCCCAGTAGGAGCTGAGGTTTGGAGAGGAGAGCTGAGGAGCCCAGAGCTCCAGAGATATGTAAAGATTCTCAGTCTGGAATTTAAAAGGCTACAAATTAGACCCGACATTAGACTCCCTCTCTTGCAGAGCTGTAGGAATGAGAATGAAACAGAATAAATAAGAGTAAAGGCGGCTTTTCCCCCTTCTTATAAGATGACATTAATCCTTTCATGTGCAATGACAGCTAACAGCACTCAGCTTCCTCCCCTGATGCCAGTATAAAGCTGGGAGATTTTCTAACATGCTGGTGAAGGAAGAGACTCCATTACTACTACATCCTGATGGAACCCTGCACTTTAATGCAGCATGGTGCTAACACCTATAGCAGACTTTACACCACATTCACAAGCATATGTAATACATACTTAAAGCAATAAACAGGACCATAATCAACAGTCACATCTCTTCGGAAAGTGTGCTAATCCACAGCCGGAACTGTGACAGAGGTTTCCATTGTTAATTGCCACACAGTAGAGGCCTGAGCTGCTGTTGAAGCATGCAATCGAAAGACAGACTGAGCCTTCTGAAAGGAAGAGATAAAAGGCTCGGGGTCTGCAGCCAAAGGGCTTAAGCCCTTACAAAGGTGTGGGCATGTGTGGGTGTGGGCGAGGGTGTCTGGACTGTGATGGCTGGATGGAAAAGGTAGAAGGGGAAGAGAAGGGCCATGTAGAATAAAGTCAGGAGTCAAGTCTGACTACCTGGATGGATTTTTCAATACTACTTGCAGACTGGGAGACATGGCTCACTCTCCTGTTGAGTATTGTTTTAGGGAGTATTTAAGCAAACAAAGCAAACAAAAGGGTCCATGCTAAAATTATTACAATTACAAATTTCATCTTCTTGTACAATATTTGTCAAGTCATTTTCCATATTTACCAAATTCAACTTCTCCAACAATGTCATTTTCTCAAGACATCTGTATGCATAGCATATAAAAATCAATGGTTTTTATGGTTGGAATTACTAAATTAGGCACAATTATGTGATGGCATAATACTGTAATCTAAACAAATAAAAAACTTAAAAGGCAGGGATAGACAGATGTAAACTAGGGCCACCAAGCCAATGAATCTTGTGCCCAGCATTAAGAACTTTAGATGGAAAAAAAAAAAACATAAATAAACATGTTTATTGCACATACAGTTAACAAATAAACTTGTGGTACCAACAATCAGGGAGATGTTGCTTTAAAAAAGAAAATATTTATTAAAACTTTGCATTAATAAGAATGTTGCTGTTGTGGTGGACATGGTGGTCCCCCGTCTACCATAGCCTGATGTCATACGATCTAGGTTATTTCATTTCATCCTGTTTAGCGACCGCAATGATGGCTTCTTTGTGTAACAGCACTATATATTAATACCTTATTTTGCTGAAGACCTTATTTCCTGGAGTGTTATTAGCAAACCTCAGCCAGGAATAACATCTACTACACCAGGCTGCCCAGCTCACCAATGTCGTCACACCACCATCGCAGTGGTTACAGTTAAACTGCAACAAAATCTGATTTGTCTGATTATTTCTATGTCCTACCAAACAGGTTTGTCAGAAATCTTGAAGGCAAATGCTGCATTTTTAGTGCAAATGTGAAATAAGTTCAACAAAGTTCAGCAAATAAACAAATAATTAAATAATAAACAACAGAGAATAAATTCAATTAACCTTAGAAGTGATTATTGTTTTGTAATGCTACTAAAAATAGTTACATCATGACAAATTGCGTCTTTACATAATGCATTACACACATCTTCTAAGCCACTTATCCTTCTGGGTCGTGGATAATGCGTTACAATTAAAGTCAATTTACCTTTTGGACTTCAGACTTTTTCCTGTTTGCCTGTTTCAATGTCAATAAAAATTACGACACAGAAACAATGTAAAGGACATTTTTTCTTCTCACAAAATAAAGAGTACACAGAATAACATCTTTTCATTATGTTTAAAACATAATAAAACATCTACTCTTATACTTACAAATAGGGCTGAGCGATAAAACGATAAGTATAACTTCTCCTCGATAGAGCGATAAGACAGGTTCGATAAATGTTCGATATAATACACCATTCTCACACTTCCACTTTTTAGCGAAAACCCTGGTGGCGTTTTCTACTGCAAGGAAAGCGACACTACTCTGTCGCCAGGAGAGGGCGCACTTCCGAATTCCGACTTGATTAGAGAGGGAGGGGGCCACGAGTAAAAAAAAAGGGTCGCCAAATATACTTTAGCAACGGCTGAAACGCGGAGTTATACAGTCCCTGTTTGAGTGGAGCGACCGGCGATCTGTGACCGAGTGTGAGTGACGAAGTCAGTGGTGTAACTGGACCGTCCTACAGCGAACTCACCTCTTTCCGTGCATCCTAACAACTTCAGCGGTGTTAAGTCTACAGCACCAAACCGTCATATTTTAGTATTAGTGCATTCGCGAGCAACGAAAGTGAAAGAAAGAAGTGGGTTCATGTTCGAAAGTAAACTGAGGAAGCTGTGAGGCATTGGAGAGCAGGAGAGCGCTATCTTTCCAGGCTAGCTGTTTTTAGCTGCTGGCTAACTTGAAGCAGCGCTCCGGCCCAACACGGTGAATTGATGATACGGTAGATCAAACAAGACACAAAATCACCGCTTTCAGTTTAAACATGCCTAAAAGGAGGACTCTGTTTGTCTGGTGTGAGAGATTCACACTGCAGATAATGCTTTTACACAGCGAACGTCAGATAAACTGCGATTCACCCCTTAAACTACTACGATAGCATAGAGAAACCCAGTCGTCGCTAGCTGGTGTCTGAATACTGTGATATGCTCTGACATGGATGTGGTAGGAGTGACAGCAGTGACCTACCGAACCGAGTTGACGTTGTTGAGAAACTAAAGAGTTTAGCTCTGTTGTTGGCCACTTGTTTAGCATTTGTAACGGGGTAGCCGAGCGCTCGTCACCAGACAGCTAAAAATAATCTGTTTTCTTTCTTAAATCATGACTATTACAAAAATTGCAGCTGTGCTTTTCAAGCTGATAAAAACAGCTGAGAAACTTTGTCCCACTCTTCCATGACAGATTAGTGAAATGTTCCACTGTTTGCCGAGTGTTTGTCATGATCCGACCATAAGTGATAGTTTAAAACCACAATTAACCACCCAGGAGCAAAATCAGCCTTCAAACGTGAAAGAAATCATGATTTGACATTTATCGCGATATGTATCGATATCGAACGATATGAATTTTGTTTATCGTGATAATGTTTTTGGCCATATCGCCCAGCTCTACTTAGAAATGTAAGTGTGGTATTTATAGTTTGGAGTCTTTCAACAGAGTTTCTCCACTTCTTACAATGAGCTACGGCTGAGAAACAATACTACTCTAAAAGTACAGCATGTTTTTGTTACCGACAGGGATAACTAATAAGGCTTAATATGAATGATAATACAAAAGTTAAGAGATGAAAGAATCTGAATGTGAATTATTATGTTTAATGTAAATATTGATGCTAATTTTAATTAAGGTACTGTGAATATAATTATTATTCAATTTACATTTCCAAA